GTTCTTGAGGTTAATGTGTCGATTTTTATAGAGGGGTTAGAGTTAGATTCTAGTGTATATGTGTTGGGTATCTAAATCTAAAGAGAGATTGAGAAAAGAATCGAATTTAGGCGAATTGGGGTTAGAAACCGAAGAAGAAATTTCGTCGAACAAAATTTGAATGTGGTCGCGCGTCGCGCGCCTAGTGCCCAGATTCAAAATTTCAGCTTCCCGTCGCGGAGCTGACACGAGGTGCTCTGCCTCAAAAGACGTTTTCAAAACCAAATTTTAAAAGCCTCTTCGCGTCGCGGACCCACTCTCAAATATTGGTTTTCAGTCTTTTATCATGTTTAGCGATCTAAAATCATTCCTAAACATCATGAGACCTTTCCTATCACAAATCACAACCTTGAATTCATAAATCACATTCAAGGTAGAGTTGAGAGTCAAGTCTTGAGAGTTCTTTCAAACATTTTTCAGAAAATCCCTTTTTGTCTTTTTGAGGAGTCTTCTACAAATTCTAATAACTTGTTTCAAGACTCGAGCAAGTGAGTATGAGAGTGAGAATAATGTATTCATGAGTCTACCTTGTTATCATGAAATCTTTCTTTTCATGAACTATAACTCTTGAATTCATAATTCACATTCAAGAGAGAGTTAAGAGTAGAGTTCAAGAAAGCCTTTAAGTTCAATTGTGAATCCTTTGAGATCAACTATCGATTTGAACTAAGTTTTGAGGAAGTAAGTCAGAGAATAAGAAGAGTCGTATACATGAGTTCCATATAGTTATGTACACTATCGAGTCGAGTTGTTTCATGCCCATAATTTCGCATGAACTTCGTAAGTTGAGCATCTTTCAGATAAGTGGTATTTTCAAGTTCTAAGCATTTAAGTGTTGAGTTGCTAATCCCTTTTGAGAAGCATATTTGAGTACTTGAGTTGAATATTTCATGCTCATATTTCCGCATGAACACTATAAGTCAAAAAATCTTGAGATGAGTAGTATCATTGAAGTTCTTGAGTTCCAAGTATTGAGTTCTATCTATGGTTATCGAAAACCTTGCATTGAGTCGTTCATGTCCATCATTTGGCATGAACCATATTTTAAGAAGTCTTTTACAAATGTTTAAACTTTGTTTTAAGAATTAAGCTTTTAAGTTGAGTAAAGAGTAAGAGTAAAGTTCATTTTCTTTAAAATGATATATGGGAACTAAGTATTCCCAAAAGTAAATGTTTTCACATTTAAGATATGAACTTCAAGAACTCATCAAGAATTCAAATCTTTCAACTTCAAGAATAAAATTTGCGCTGAAAATAACATGCTTGGCGTGTGGGTGAACAAACCCAACACTATGGAAGCTTACATACCTCTTAGGGATTAAACCCATGGCGAAAATCCGCAACAATCTCGACGAGCGCTTTCATCCTTTCTCTTTTCTCCTCTTTTCTCTTCTTCTTTTCTCTTCTTGAACTCTCAATTAAAACCCTAGGCATAAACTAGGATTATAAAACTGAACCTAGTCAGATTAGACCCCTAAAATATTACTAAAAACGAAGTAAATCTGATGGGTAAGGAAAGACCAAAATACCCTCTAAAATCCGGTTTTGACTTTCCTTAACTGGACAGCCTAACTTCAAAAGGTCATATCTCACTCATCCGACCTCAAAACTTAGCAAACTTGGCGGCGTTGAAAAGATAATTCAAAAGTCTTTCCTACGGTATCTGGTAGCACACCTAACTCATCCTGATCTAGGAGTTATAGTCATTTGAAGTCAACCCAAAACTCATACTTAGCTTTACTTGCAAAATTTCAGATTTTGCTATTTCCAATTTAATTCTTGGAACTCAAGGTGCTACATCTAGTGACCTCAACACTTGATAAATTTTTAATTCCTTGGTAAAATCTCACTCACTACGAAGAACGGTTCGAGTCTTAGTTCGAAAAAAAATTTCTTGGGTGTTACAGGTGGATTTCACCTTGGAGAAAAGGATTCGTGGTTAGTAGTTAGAAAGCTTGACATAATGTACTATGTGGCAAAGGCTAGGTAATATAAAAGAGAAAGTAAGGGTATGTCGTGGGCGGTTAGTCGGAATGCTTGTAGTTGTATTCGTGGACTCTTCTATGTGTTAGAATGTTTAGGCTATGATCAAGAACCTAGTAAGTTGGTTGACGGAGAAGGTGGTTAGCAGTAAGGGTACTAGTGTAATTCTGAGGTATTCAAGAGAGGGTAAAGGTGGAGAAGCGAGTGGCTTATTGTATGTTCTTACTAGTTGAATTCTTATATTGTGCGGTGGGCGTCGGGTTGACCGATGATGCCTATCAGTACGTGTGATTTTGTACTGATACTACTCTTGCTATGCCTTTTTGGCATAGTCTGGATGAAGGGTCGGTGATGTTTCATTAGGTGAAGACGAGGGAAATCTCCAGCAGCTATTCTTCCTTCCGCATGGTGGGAGCTGTGTCTTTTCATTATTATATCTTATTTTGTACTCTTAGTAGCTCTTGTACCTGTTTAGACTAGATCCCGGGAGTGTTAATTTCTTTACAAGTAACTCTGAGTTGTTTTTAAAAATTCTTGTTTTATAAAAGATATTACATGATTTTCTTTATTAGTCTGCTTACTTAATTTTTCCGCATGTTTTGACTATTGGGATATGAGGGTTCTCCTACTTAGGTGTTAGTATGTAGATGCCCGCACGATCCGGTGGGTTAGATCGTGACATTATGTGTTTAACTTACTCAACCAATGCAAAACTAAAGAATATAGAGCAAACAACATAAAACTCGTTATCATAGGAAGTAATTACTCAATGCGTCCATAATTTCTATAATTATTTATCTTGATTGAGTTGCCTCTAGATATACTGTATCTAGAGAATGTATCTCGCATCTCTCCTCTCTCGCTCTCCCTTTGTCCTCTTTTATCCCTTTACTTTTGTGTATCTGCATTTCACACTTTAATGTATATGTGTATTCAGTATCAAATATGCATTGTTGTATTCGGTGTATATGTGTGTATTAATTTTATCTAGTGTATCCAATATCATATATCTAGTGTATTCAATATCCGCTTCATATATTCAGTATTAAAAAAAATACATAATTAATGTATTCAGTGTATCTGTGCATAGTTATATTGGTTCTAAGTGAGCACTGATATATCCAGTGTATCTGTGATGCATCTAGTGTATATGTGCATATATAAGTACATCTATCCAGTATCAATTATGTGATGTATCTAGTATATTTGTGCATAAATGCATACTTAAAACAAGACAAAGACAAAGATATAGATTATTCAGATATATGTATCTATGCATAGATACATGTATCTTGTGTAACTATTACATATTTAAAAAAAGACAAAGACTAAGATATAATTATCCAAATACGTATATCTATTACTCAATTTGATGAGATCATAGTCTAATTGTTAAGGACTTGTTTCGGAGGCTACTACTGGATGTATCGAGGGAGAAAAACTCTTGATTTTGTGATGTGAAGTAACCATTAGGATGATATCACCAAGTGAAAGCTAAAGGTGAGAAAGAGGAAGCGAGAGAGCGAGTGATTATCTAGTTATTTTAAAGTATAGTGAGATTTAGTGGATATAGTAGAGCCCGTTTGTTTAATCAAGTAGTTTTGCTAAGAATATATATCCAACGTTGTAGTCATTCCTATTATTGAAATGATTTTTTTTTGTTAGTATTAGTATTGATTTGATTTTGATTGTTTTATTTGAATTACTAATTATGAGTTATAAAACTTATTGAATCATTTAAAATTTTAAGTACAAATTTGAAATAATATATTGAAAAATAAAAACTATGAAAAAGTTTTAAAAATATTTGCTCACCCTGTCTCAGTTTATATGACTTACCTTTTTAGTCAATCCCCAAAAGAATGACATATTTCTATATTAAGTAACAATTTAACTTTTAAATGCTCATTTTTTAATGAAATGATTTATAGTCAAACAAATATTTATCACTTATTTTAGATCATAACTTTCAAGAGTCTTCATTTCTTTCTTAATTTTCGTGTTAAGTCAAACTAATTCATATAAAATAGGACAGAGAGAGCATAAGTTACATTACAATAAATATTTTAATGTAAATACTTTAAAAATAATATACATGTAATATTGAGTTGAGTTGATTCTGTTTGACATTTTTTTTAGTTAAAACCCAACCAAACTAATTATGATGGAATTTTTTTTCCATAACAAAACCAAAGTAAACTAAATTACTAATCGAACTTTTTTTTCAGTTTGACTCAATTTATCGATTTAGTGCAGTTTATCGATTTTCTTTGTACACCCATAATTGAAATTGCAGAGATCTCTAACATAGTATCTTGTACATAGAAAAAAGGAAAGGAGGGCCAAATTCAACATGGAACCACATGATTTTACCTATCTTGGAGGGAAATAGTGACGAATTAATGACGAAGTTCATAGCTAATTTCAGTATTTTTAATAGTGATATGAATATATTAAGAACTTAAACTAGATCTTATATGAAATATTCTCTCTGCGTTCACAAGGTAGGGGTAAAACTACCTATACATCACCCTCTTCAGACATCACTTGCGAAATTACACTGAATTTATTGTCGTTGGTAGATTATCTACTTCTAGCCATAACAAAACTAATTTGATCTCGAATTTATGAAAGTCACCTTTTTATTAGTGATAATAGAGAACCACTTCAGGCCATCAGGATCCGCAATTTACAAAAGTAACCTTGGAACAACAAATTAACAATTTCACTAGCGACGATACATGATAAAAAATTGTGTATATCATAGCCTCTTCAAATTCTAACGATAGAATTTCACTGATATATTATTGTTATTATTACAACACCACAATGTAGGTGATGTAACACTTCAAACTCATGGGACACTAGGCATAGTATCTACAAGGTATATTGTTGTTGATTCAAGAACATGCATGATACAATATATAACATAATAACTAGTATAATATAAAACGATACATTATGAAACAACGAAAAATAAATTTTATTAGTAAGATACTACTCTTTTCCCTTTAAACTAACCTAAAAGGGAATTATATTCATCATTCATTTTTTTATATTTCTCAGTCAATTTTCTGAAAGTCTCTTTCTTTTCCTCAGAAATATTCTCCTTTGACAATTGAAGCTTCATTTCTTCTCTCTTTTTCTTAAGCTCTTTTATGGCTGCCATTTTCTCATCATGTTCCTTTTGAAGTTTTGCAAGATCTGACTTCTTTTTCTTACCTGATTTAATATGTAATGTATCGATATAATGTATTGATATTGTATAAATAGTGTATAATCCTATATATAACATATAACTATGTATTAGATACATTTCAATAGGTTAAGTCACTACAAAAATGAGTAGCTTTTAGCGTCAATAAATGTACATAACAAAGAGTGCTAAAATATTTATCAGTATTAGTTAATTGTCATTTGATCAAATGTCGTTATAGGTTTCAGGGACATTTACAAAGAGTGTTAATTGTCTCTAAAAATATATATTTAGCGGCAAAGTTATTTTAGTCATTTAACAAATTAAATTGAGACCTTGTAGAGCACATACCTGAAAATTTGAATGAGCTGTTGCCTTCCTCCATAATTTCTGTAAAAATTAAAATCATGTCGATATTTAGAAAATTTGTTTTTGTTTTTCTTAAATCAATTATCTTAAGGAAAAATAAAAGAGAACAAAAAATATGTCTTTTAATTGCTGATAAGTTTGCATTCAATTCACTTGCCAATTAAACAAGTTTACTAATTTTCCTAAACAAAGTTCCATTTTATTTTATTTTTTTGTATTGGTTTATAGTATAATCTTTTGAGTAATTTTATCTTCATTTTACTGAGGATGAAGTTTTTTTTTTAAAAAAAAAAAGGGCTTTCGACTTTTCTAATTTCTTAACTTTGAAAGAAAAAACAAGCGCATGTGGGAGATCTTAGTAGCTCAATTGATTCATGATTGATCACGTAAACTTTTATTTTGTTCTGAAGATTCGATGCATCATCTCAAGAAATTACAAACTAAAAAAATCAAAGAAATTATAAAATATAATGAAGTTAATCAAATTAAGGGTGTGTTTTGCACAAAGGAGAAAAAAATTCCAGAAAGTTTTTTAGAAAAAAAAAATGTGACACAAATTATGAGAAAATCTTTTTTGATGTTTGGTTGACAAAAAAATGTTTTCTCGTACCAAACGCTCCCTTAAATATTCATATCATGCAAATATTATATATAGTAAGTAATAAGTTACCTTAATTTGGTGTCAAACCTTTACAGCCACCTTGTGTTCTGCACTACTATCAACTATGAGAAACCTTTTATAAGCAACAAATTTGTCAGAAAAATGAGTTGAAAGTTTATCGAAAATAATTTATTTAATAGGAATAAATTTTGTGTAACCCTATGTTCTCAGCGGTTATTTATAAAATTATACAGAACATATTATTGTTGTTGTTGACAATTATGCGCATGTGCAGATTAATTAAAAACAAATAAGTAAAATAAAAAAGATAGTTCATGTGTGATTGTCTTGTTAACGCTTTTTTATAGTCAATTACAACGCCTCAACTTCAAATATGTAGGGTCAGTTATATAAATCTTCATGATCACATATAGTTTTGAGAAAATACGATAAATAGCAAAGAGATTAAACTTAATAAGCCTCCTTAGCTACAATTCGGCTAATCATGCTCCATAGCTATAGTTTTATTTGATATGGGTATTTCTGTTTGTATAATTTGTCTGCCAATATATAAACATGGTAAGTATATACAAATTACGTATTAATACATTTAGAAATTTTTCAGAACTTAAACAAATCAAATGTATCAACAGGATATTATATACAAGCTAGGGTAAGCATATACAAACTCTGGATTTATAGCATTAGAAAAATTCTGGACTTATACAATTAGGAACCGAATTATACAAATTCTGAATTTATACAATTAGGAGCCGAATTATACAAATTCTAGACATGGACCATGTAATAATGCTTATAAGTTAATGGCGAATGATAATTTAACTAAATTGTAGCTATGTTAATTAATTAACTGATTATATTAATTTATCCTTGTAATTTTCCCTATATTTTTTCATTTATATATATTCATCTCTTTATAAAAAAAAATATTGATGATATTAAAGACAACATTGATTTTTTTGTTTTATTTTAGGTACAAATAGAAGAAATTTCCCTTTGATGGAAATAATATCCATGTTGTAGAATTGAGTACAGAGATTTGCTGTGCCATAGACATGCAAGTGTTTAAAGTCATGTGACTCAGACAAATAAAATAATGATGTAGGGAATCAGAATATTACACGTCATTGCTATGGACAAATTATACATATTTCAAATAAATACACATAAATATATTCAATATAGTTTGAAAAATTAAGTTTCAAATATAATTGTTTATCCTAAAAACGGTATAGTTGAATTTATATAAAGTATGCAATTTAATCTTCGTTTTATGTCCATTTACCGGGGATTTAAACATAGATTTAGTGGCATGGAAAGTAATTATATTTAAATACAGAACGGAGAATATAGATCTAAGTATTTCAAGATAGTAGGGGTGTACAAAATCGAACCGAAAACTGAATCAAACCGCAAATCGAGTAAACCCAAAAAAAAAACTTGACTAGTGGTTTGGTTTGACTTGGTTTGGTTTTGAAAAAAAAGCCCGACTATATTTGGGTTGGTTTGGTTTTAACTAAAAAAAACCAACCCGAGACCAAACCAACCCGACATTATATATATAATTTTAAAATTTTATTTTATACATAAAAATATTTACTTTGATATAATTTTTAAATATTTCTTATACTTTTTCATAGTTTTTATCTTTTAATATATTATTTCAAGTTTGAAACTTAGAATTATGAATGAGCCAATAAAGATTATTGTCCACAGATATTGGTAATTAACTAATTATAATAAAGCTTAAATCAAAATCAAATAATTAATACTAATGCAAAAAGAAAATCAATTCAACACGACAATAATATTGAATATTTGTTCTTTAGTTTTACATTGGTTTAGACAATTAAAATACATAACCTAATTTAATTTCCTTTAATATTTAGTCATGTAACTAATACTTATTAAACTTAATTTTAGCATGATTTAGTACTTTTAAATTATGATCATTTTCATTATGACTTGTTAATTTGCATTATTTGTTTTACGCGATTTCATTATTATTATTTTTGTTGGATATTTTAGTGTCATTAATCATATCATATTGTGTTATATTTTTAAGAAACATCTTAGATAGTTGTATTTTGGTAGGACTAAAGAAATATTTGAAGTACAAGTAAATTATATGTTTGTATGAATACTTTACCGGAAAAACCCGAAAAAACCTGAGGTTGAAAAATCCGAGCTTTATTGGTTTGGTTTGGTTTATAAATTTAAAAATCCGACACAAATGGTTTGGTTTGATATTTGAAAAATCTGAACCAACCCGACCATGTACACCCCTACAAGATAGTATGTTGAATGAGTAAAGCTAAATAAAGAAAGAGTGCAAGAATTCGAGCAATTTGGTGCGTCGATGTATGTCTCCGAGAGATAATTTCACCACACCAAAAATGATTTTTTAATGGTAAATAATTAACGGTAATAGCTTAATTGTTGTTAAATATGTTTTTAGAGGCAATCGGCACTTTTTGTAAATGTCCCTAAAGCCTATACCGTCATTGGATCCAAAGGCAATTAACTAATGACGATAAAGGCTTTAGCATATTTTTTTAATGTTTATATTTATCGTTGCTTAAAGTTATTTTTGTTGTAATGTCCTCAGCTCCAAAAGTATCTTCCGTCTAAAACAACTAAAGTAAACGCAAGCGAAGTAAAGCACAAGGAAACTTGATGCTCAAGAAAATTCTACGTTTATTGCTACTGTAAGACCACCAACAAAGGGAGATGAGCAACATGTGGGGCCTACACACATGGAATAGCTTCACGAAAAGTCTGCACAGGCCCGGTAGTTAAAGGGTAGAAAAAGAAAGAGATTAGATAACTATATAGAAGATTCAGATCCAACCAGCACTTAACTAAGTTCTTGATGAGAGGTATCCACATTCACCTTATTCTGCTCTCCTTAGCCTCTGACTTGAGCGTAGTGAAGCAAGGGGTCAGTGAAATCGAATCAGAATGAAACTATTTATAATAGGTTATAGTAACAAGGCATCAGTCATTACAAGTGTTCAAACTCTAAATTAAAGTAGTATAAGAACAATGAAAGAATTCTGCATGGAAATGCGTTAGTGATGCCACCTAATATTCTTGCAGCCTCCACGTCTATATGGGCTCGTCTCCTGACACCTTTGTCTCTCTTTATCTCTTTGTAATCATCCCTTGCCTTTAGCGTGTTCTCATTTTCTTCTCTATGTGAACGACAGTACATTTAGATACCGAAAAGGCAATCTCATAATATGTGTCTATGTTCTGACGCATCAATTAAAGTTGATTTTACCTTCATATATGGTCTCGCCGCGTATTGTTGTGTGATTCATTTCTTTTACTAGATCCAATTTTGCCCTAAAAACTTGGAATGGAGTAGTTTTCTCAAGTATTACTATTTACATCTTTACTGATTAGAAATGTCTAAAATTCTTCGGCATTGTTGCTTAAGTACTTTAAAAAATCATAGAAGTAAAATTTTACTCAAATTTGATTTGCTAAATTTTCAGTTTTTCTGCATAATTACTACTATAATATTCATGCCTTAATGATGGTATAGATGAATAGATTGATGATCGAAAAATCCCTTAAAATTATCTAGTGCACCTTTCAAAGTTCAATGAATAATGAACTTGTTCCTCAACCTTGTTTCATATTGATATCAAGCATATATTTTATGATAAATTTAAATTCGTGAAGTACATCTAAATCTATATCAATAGCATTTTTATCACTAGATCAAAGTCCTAAAGATATTCGACAAAAAAATATCACCATACCATGTCTCGACGTGGCCAATGGGTATCTTATTATGTATGTCATTCATAAAAAATATATAATAAAAAAAAAACAGGTGAAATAATCTGTGAGCGATTTAAAATAAATTAATTTAATCTTTGTTAAGTTTTTAGCTCAAAAATATTATGACTTCGACTTAAGCTTAGGATGAAGTAAAATCACGATAAGTAATTATAACTTATCAAGCTATAATTGAATTTGATTTCTTTTATCATATCATTTTAAAGTTAGTAAAATAAATGCATTATAAAATGAAAAATCATATTAAACTCATACCTGATATATAAGAAATCGGAAGGAAGAATTTTTTTATGTCATTGTTTTTATTTATCAAAATAAGAAATGTTTACACTACTTATTTTCTTATATGCTATATATATACTATGTCTTGAACATTTACCCCAATTCCCCCCCCCCCCCCCCCCACCCACCCAAAAAAAAAAAAAAAAATTAAACATTTTATAATTATTTTGGAATAATTGTTAGAAAAACTGGTATTTTTAAGCTATTTGGCTAGTTGGGGAGCATTTTATAACCAAAAATGTAACGATATGGACATTTTTGAACCAAAAATAATTATATTTGTTTAATCCAATTAATTATAGCACTAACTATTATTCTTTTCAGAGCAAACATTGTTGATGTGCAACTCACTTGATCACATACAAAAAGTTATATCTATACATTCAATTTCAGATACCCCACAAATAGAAAGAAAAATTTTCAATTATTGTCCAATAGTTTTACTAAATTAACAAATCCACTTAATTAATCGAATATTCCTATTGTCCCAGAATAATATCTATCAATTAACTCAAGTCCGTTATAACAACTAATAGGTTCAAAATAAGTTTGTACCGCATGTATGTTGAACAAACGAATCACTCAATATATCAAATGTAAGTTTTCAAGATTTCGCGCTCATAAACCTTTTCTTTCATTTATCAATAAATTCAAGTCACTTTCATCGTTTGAAATCGATAAATGGAAGTCATAAAAAGAGCAAAAAAGTACTGAAGTAAAAGCCCCAAATATGAAGTTTCAACTAGGCCAAGATACCTTTATGTACAAACCATATAACATAATTGTATGGGACATGTGGTTTCGTGGAAGCTCACATTTCTAAGTTTATTAATATTATTATTTATCTATTATTATCTTGGACTTATAACACCATAGAAAATCAAGAGACAGAAAAACATGAATATCTACTCAAAGAAGATCTTCACCAACTCCAAATAAGGGTCCAAAAAAATAGAGAGTATTGAAAACACTCTTAAACTCAACACAAATTATTTACTTTACTAACTAAACTTAAATACACCTCCGATCTTACAACG